TTCTTGTAGTGCCTGGTTGTGCTCAAACCACTAGTAAAGGTCTGCCAAAGGCTTGTTGGAGGAGCAGGTCACTATCATCCTATTAAGATTCTGGATAGGTTGCCACAGAGTCGCCTTCTGTGTCAGGCTGCCTTGAAGATGGGTTTGAAGAGTCCATGATAGCCACCCTTCTTCTCATGGGAGTTGACTGCTGAGAGCCCAGAGACCTGCCGGAGCTATTGCACCACAAGGACAAGTCCTGGCTTGACCAACAAGCTTGGGTTAAAAAAATAATGGGTTAGGTTTTATATGACCCCCAGCCTGATTTTTACTGGTTAAGAAATGTGAAGATGGGGCATTTTCAGGGGGAGATCAGCAGGCACGAGGGAGGATGCTTAACCCTTGTTTTGCCCACCAGGTCACTCCTGAAAGTTCCCTCCCATTTCTTCTCGCACTGATTCATTTTCTTTCATATAGCTAAGAACACACCTGTGGGAATGAGTGCCTGTGTGCCTGTGCCCCTCTTTGCCCTGGAGTCCTCCTTGGGTTGCAAGCAAGCTGCTCTGCATAGCCCAGGAGCTGGCAAGGGAGTTGGTGCATGTGTATGTCTGGCCAGGAGGTGAAAATGGCCCCTGGACCTCACTCAGTTACTCACCCCTGTCTTAAGTTCAGAACAACTATCTTTGAAAAGGCTTTCGGTTAGTGGAAATATCTCAGAATGCAGCCTGATGGCTGCATTTGTATGCCACAGTTCATTGTGACAGGAATGATCTCAGGTAAGCCCTACCCTTGCACGCACCCCCTTCCTCTGCACAACTCCAAGAGGACCAAAAGCGCTTGCTTCTGTTTTAATCAACAACAGCTTGTCTGTCATTTCCTTTGAACCCAACAAACTGTGGTCCACTTTCAGTTGTTTGTCTGAAGCAACCAACTTCAAGTCATGGGTTAAGATGAGCTACAGTTTAAGTTCGGAGTTTAATGCTAAGCTTTGCTTAATTGGAATGGGAAGCAAGCTCTTCTGAGCTCCTCTGAGTGGCTGCACTGGAGGAGTAAGTCGGGGAAGCATAAGCACGGGAGGCTCATCCAGGTTTGTTTCCCTTACCATAAACCTTGGCTCATTGTGACTACTAAATGTAGCCAAGAATTAATGTAGGGCTGAATTGAGACAGATTTGACTTGGAGTTTCTGTGGAGTCAACTGCAGTAGTGGCTGGCTTCCCCAATATTATGGCATTTTCTTTTGTGTTCTTGAATAATTTGGCTTATTTTGCACTAAAGTATCATATGGAGTTCTTGCTTGTGAACCACCAAGGAATTTTAGCTGCTAGATAATATAGAACTAGAATATGAAAAATAAATGAGTAAAGGCTCTTTCTTGATCTGATCCTAATATATCCTTGATGAAAACATACATTTTCAAGAAAGATAGCACACTCTAAAGCAGGGGTCCTCAAACTTTTTCAACAGGGGGCCAGTTGACAGGTGCCAGTGGGGGGGCGCACATGCAAGGTGGGGATGGGGGGGCATGCGGGGCGAGGCGCCAGCTTGCTCGCGAGGAGATAGCTTTCTCCGAGCAAGTCGAAAATGACCTCCTCGCAAGCAAGCTGTGTGCCTGCATGCACCCATGTGCATGCACGGCGAGTGCAAAACCTCTGGGGCGGGCCAGTTAAATGGGCATGGTGGGCCAGACGTGGCCCAGGGGCCTTACATTGAGGACCCATGCCCTAAAGCACACCAGGGCAATTTGGACAATTCTACATATTGCTATAATTATCTTGTGCCAAAATGAAAGCCATAAAATGTATACATGTGACAAATCCGTGTCAAAATTGGTATTACTTCCTGTTACACTTGTGAAGATAAATCAACATTTTAGGGCTATTTCACACATGTCTTAAGCAAAATTCTTCAATGAAGGAAGCAAGTTTGTAGACTTGCACATATCCATCTTACCATATTGGTAAATTTACCATTAATTGGCAAGTTTCACATCATATGTCTGTGTGGCTAAATAAATGTATGTTAATCACATTTATGAGAACACTTTTTTCTTTACACAGAAATGATGCACATGCAGAAAAAAGGTCCTATTGAATTCAACTGCTCAGGGCTCTGCCATACTTTCATCAAGCCATTAGGTGGTGCTGTAAACTCGCAAAATGAAATGAGCCGTGGATTTGATATATGCTGAAGCAAAACTATTGAGACCAGGACTGGTAAAAGTAATGAGTAAAACAGGATCGAAATTAAATTCAACTAAATGTTTATTCAAATCTTGAATTTGTAGAATTAACGGGATATTCTTAGGCCTACAGTGATTAAATTGACTAGGTCAGTTGTCTATAGAACTTGGTCTTGGAAGACTCTGACAAAATGGTAAAGGTTTTGCATTTTGGATTAAAAACCTTACCTCCCACCCCCACCCCCCACACACCTCCCACTGGTTGCAAAATCTAAACTCGCTACTTTGGAGTGCCCAGATATTACTCGCTGGAAGATCTTCTGGAGCACATTCAAATATTTTGAGCCAGAGTCTGATTTGACTCATTTTTGTTCTTGTTCCATCTATTTTGCTCAGGGGTGGGCAGCCTGCAGGCTGATCTCCTAATCTACACTAGCTCCTCTGTTGCATCTCCTCTGCGGTCAGTGGACTTTTCAAAAGCTCCACTGGTGACAATGGAGGCTTTTGAGAAGCCTAATTGCTCCTGGGGCATTTTATGGGCTGAGATATCCCTGTGGAGGGAAAGGCTTAACCCTCCCCCAGCCCCCCCCTTGAAAAAATCCCCCTGGCAACAAGTAGGACTGGTTTGAGCCAATGGGTCCCAACGTGCAACGCAACAAACTTTTAAAAAACTGCTTCTGAACATCGATGAGAAAAATATTGGCACATTCCATCAAACCTTAGCACTCCTTGGCTTGTCTGGGGGCAGAGCCAGACAGACATTGACCTGGAAATGAGAATGTGTTATGTAAATTAACTAGCTGCTTAATTTAATCCTTGCAACTTCATCAGCAGTAATAGAAGTAGCAGTGACGTCATCCTGGGGAAAAGGCACTATATATAATCCGGGATGTTTTTTGTTGTTTGTTACAGCTAGGTTGTCCCTCTCTGTGGCATAACCCCTGCTGCTTCTCAAGCCAGGACCCTGAGGCTTTAATCCTGCACACATTTGCCTGGGTTTCTCAGAGTGGGATTCAGTGTGGCACTTGATTTCAGAGGTGTAGGATATTTTCTATTCTAAAAGTGTAGGACAATCCCCCCCCCCCCCGCCCACCTAAGGGACCTTTCTGTTTCTTTTCTCTTTCCACACTTTCCCTCCTCCTCTGGTTGCTTGACAGATCATGATGAGTTAATTTGGTGTGAAAGGGCTGACATTTTTCTATACATGTGTGCATGGGGAAATCAAAGCTTAATTTACATATTTATGTAGTTCAATTTGTTCTGCCTGTCTTTAGGGGACAGTATCAAACCGTAAGGCTTCATTTGCCCAGCACCACAGAGGGATTTGATTTATCAGGGCAGTCAAATGCGCAACAGGGTCGAGAGAGACCGGTGTGTTTAGGACTAGAAAGAACTTAATGCCTGCTCAAATGGAGAGCACTGCAAGGGACAAAATGTGGAACTGGTCCTTTCATCCAGCGGATTAAGCGATGTAAGCTTTCCTGGAGCACTGCTTTTGGCTTGGGAATAGCTGTCTGTGGCAGCTTCACGCTGTGCCTCTCCTTCTGCAACTCGTTAAAAAATGAAGAAGAGAGAAATGAACTCTTGAATCCCACCCCCTCCAGGTTTCTCGGCTTTCTCAAAGCCATATTCCTTTAAGATGATGTAATAGTCATTTCCCTGGATGGTTTCTTCCCTGCACTGCTGAAACAACAGCATCTGAACTGCACTGGGAACTGTGGAACCACCCAGCTCAGCAATGAGAGCAGAGCTTGGGTAGTAAAAGCAGAACAAGCTGCTTCCCAGGGCATCTTTTCAAACTGCTGCAAGCTTGGACTCTCTCAGCGTGGCTGGGAAACATGGGAAGCTCTCGGTCCTTACAGATGGAGACAGTGCCACGGGGGGGTGCCCCTTAAATGTGCCAGTGCCATCCTCGGAGTCTGAGCCTTCTGCAAGTCATCTAAAGCAAGGTCCTCCTGCTGAAATTCTCTCCTCTCCTGAAGGATCCTGACCTGGGATTTATGCTGGGTTTGCCTTTTCTCTCTCCACTCTTGCTACACAGCTCGGTTCCTCTCCAATGCCCATTCTGCTTAACTTTCCTCTGCGTGGGTTTAACTCAATGTTCTGTCTGGATATTGCCAAATGGACCCAGCTCATCTCGGGTCCTTTCCTGCTTTGGGATTTGCTCCTTCTCTGAGATTCTGTCTGCCTCAGTGCTGATTTGGGGGCTGATCAGAAAATGTTGCTTCTCTTCACAGGAACTGTATATGCATCAGTGTAACCAAGGTAAGCTTTGATGCTTCAATCCCCTCTTTTACATATTCTAAATGAGATGTGTGGTGTCTTATTAACTCCTTTACTGTCAGAAGAGGAAATCTAAACAAAAAATGACATAGCGAGTTAAATATTCCCTTGAATCAGCGCTATGTGGAGCATGCAAACTCCACTGCTTTTTATTGCTTTTAGATCTTTTTTTCCCCATACAGAGGGGGATAATTTTTTTCTTATTTTCCTTTTTATTCAACAGGCATGTGAATAATAAGGAATGTGGTTTTCCCCTGTTGTTTTGGGCTTTGATGGAAGATCTGATCGCTTGATTGCATTTGCTGAAGTAAGCCTCCTTCACCTGCTCCATAAGGTTCAAGCCACTGCCAGTTTTTGTGACCATTTCTGGACCACTGCAAAATTAAATACTGCAACTTCTCTTTCTTTTTCCACCCCCCCCCCCACTCCACAAAACCCAGTCTCCTCAAATGCTAGGAGACTCTTGAGGAGGGGGAAGGAGTACAGGAGCCTTACGGAAATCTTGGATGTGAGTGAGAGTTCTGCCCCAACTTGTGGCTGGTTTGTTCAAAAGTACCATGGCCTTGAGTGGAAACTGCAGGACTTACCTCCCTTCTCGAGAGCAAGCATCTGCTTCGCAGTCCTTCCCGGAGGTGATAGAATTGAATGTGGGTGGCCAGGTTTACTTCACTCGTCACTCGACTTTAACAGGCATTCCCCACTCCCTGCTTTGGAAAATGTTCACTGCAAAGAGAGAGGCAGTCGCTGACCTAGCAAAAGATTCGAAAGGGAGGATTTTCATTGACAGAGACGGCTTTCTGTTCCGCTATATTCTGGACTATCTCAGGGACAAGCAGGTGGTCCTGCCCGACCATTTCCCAGAACGAGGAAGGCTCAAGAGGGAAGCCGAGTACTTTCAGCTGCCGGAGTTGGTCAAACTTTTGACTCCCGATGAGATCAAGCAAAGCCCTGATGACTATTGCCATAGTGATTATGAGGAGGTTTCCCAAAGCAGTGACACCAGAATATGTGCCCCGTCATCGCTGGTGCCCTCGGACCGAAAGTGGGGCTTCATTACCATTGGCTATAGAGGGTCGTGCACCATGGGCAGGGAGACTCAAGCAGATGCTAAATTCAGGAGAGTCCCAAGGATTTTGGTCTGTGGAAGGATTGCTCTAGTCAAGGAAGTTTTTGGAGAAAGTTTGAATGAGAGCAGAGATCCAGACCGGGCTCCTGACAGATACACCTCCAGGTTCTACCTGAAGTTCAGGCACCTGGAGAGGGCTTTTGATATGTTGTCAGAATGTGGATTCCACATGGTCGCCTGTAATTCCTCTGTGACAGCTTCTTTTGTTAATCAATACACCGATGACAAAGTCTGGTCCAGCTACACAGAATACGTCTTTTACCGTAAGTACAAGCAATTTCTGGTGTGGTGAGCCGTGCATTTGCTTGGAGTCTGTTTCTTTGGACAGCTGGGTCGCCTTTCTAGTTTGAACAAGACTCATTGTCTTTGCTGTTCACTGAAGTTTTGTTCTGGCAGAATAGGATGTGCAAGGGGAATATGTTTGGTACCAGTCTTTTGAGCATGCAGGGATGGTGACTTCAGTGGTGTGGTCTTGGCTAGGTGGCAGCACAGACTGCTAGAATTTCCCTCCCTCTCTCCTTGCACTGCATGTGTGCACATTCGCCCACGTATCCAGAGATACTCCTTGTTATCCCACCTTTGTTAATGATCAGTTTGATGATCTTACCTGCCTTTTGAGTACTTGCTCAGGGTCATGCAAGCCCTGAAAAGACACTACTGATTTAATTACAGAAACTCTTCAAATAAGATTCAATTTACAAAGGTAATAGATGTTTGGTAATAACTGTGCAGAGTCAACCAAGCCATCTGTCAACAAAATTGACATGCAGAGAAGGGAAAGCAAAATCTGCTCACTCTGCTTCCTTTCCAACAGAAGTCTTTTCCACCATGAAATGTGGTGGATTTAAATAAGAGGTATTAAAATCAAAAGCAAATGCCTAAAGAATGAAGCTCCTGCATCTTGCTATTGTAACTCTGGTGTAAACGCTCCTCCTTAACTACATAAATTTACTGTGCTGGCTGGAATCTCTACAGGGTTTTGGGATCAGATATGACGTTTTTGCATGTTATGGACAAACAGCTTTCTGGTTGTACCAGGATAGTTCTGATGCCATGCTTTATCAAAGTACTTGATTTTCAATATGTGTGGCTACAGTATTTTATCCTTTCTTTATTTCAAGTGGAGGAAGAATTAGTTTGTCCCCTACCACAAACAGGCTATCATTTGTATATGTGTTTTGTGAACATAAATGTGAAGAAGAGATACCTTGTCCTAGAAACCTGTTTCACTTTGTGTGGTATTTAAATGAAAGGTTTTGAAAAGTAGTGCAGATATTAAGAAATGGTTCTAACTATATTGAGTAGTAAGTACAGATACTGACACTGAATTCACAGGACATCCATTCTACTAAGATTATATAAGAGTCTATATAAACTTCTGGTGAGTTTGATATCAGTGGAATTTTTTAAAAATGCAAAGGTGTTTATTTCAAAAAAGATAATCTCTGCAAGTCTGTCTATTACAAAATATAATGGGAGGAATTAGGAAATGACAGGAAGTTATTGATGACTGGTGATCTCCTTTACTTAGGAAGAACCAAGATCCAAATAGTTGCTGGAGTTTTTAGTTGCTTGTTTGCCCAAAGGTTAGAATTGAAGTCATAGCCTGGTGAGTAAATATCAGGGACTGCTCTTACATTGTAGTTAATCTCATCGGTGCTCAAGCAGTACATTAGCTTGCAGTACTTCATTTGGTCTACCTTTATGGGTTTCTTTTCTTTTGGCAGGGGTGCAGACAAGTAAGTTGACATTCCCACATTATGACAAATAAAACTGCACTCATGATGATACATGGTTCCCCTGATAATCTCTCTCTCCAAATTTTAGACTTGCTTCCCCCTTTCCTGAAATATCTGGATTTTAGAGAAGGCACAGCACCATACCACTTTGGGCATGATTCACCAGTGATCACCGCACTTCAGGCAGGCAGGAAGCCTTGGTGGGGGAGTCTTAGCAAAGAATGATAAAAGGCCTTGGTTGAGCTCTAGACTGGGTGGCACATGGGGAGAAGAGGAATGAAGGCAGCACAGCACAGCCCCGGCCCGGAGAGTGTCTATGTTGGAGCAGCTCTTCCACAAAAAGTTGACTCTGTAGATGTGCTTGTTCAACACCCTTGGCAGGCTTGAGCTGGCCTACCTGCGCATTGTGCAAGGCAGAGTCAGTAGCTCCTCCTGCGCTTGAGTAACACTCATGGTGGAGCAAGCTGCCTGCCTGGAGCTATTCGAGAGTCTGTGTCTGTGTAAGGACGTAAGAGCCCTGCTGGATCAGACCGAAGGTCCATTAGTCCAGCATTCTGGTCACACAGTAGCCAACCAGCTACTCAAGGAAAACTCACAGGCAGGACATGAGTGCAACAGCACTCTCCTACCCATGTTCCCCAGCCACTGATGCACATAGCATTTCATTGATACTGGAGCCATTGGGCCCAGGAGTCCCCCTTTAAAGCCACCCAGGTTGGTGGTCATCACTACATGTTGTGGAAGTGACTTCCAGAGTTTAAATATCTGGTATAAGAAGAATTATTCCCTTACATCTGTCCTGAGTCTCCCACCAAACAGCTTCATGGGATGACCCTGGGTTCTAGTATTATAGAGAGGAAGAATATTTTTCCTTTAATTACTTTGTCAACACCTTGCATAATTTTGTAGAGATCTATCAAGTCTCACCTAATTCACTTTTGTCTAAGCTAAACAATCCCATGCATTGCAAACTTCTCTCACAGGGGAGCTGCGCCAGCCCCTTGATCATTGTAGTTGTCTTTGTCTGCATGTTTTCTAATTCTACAATACGTATTTTTAGATGAGGAGACTGGAACTGTACATAATATTCCAGTATGATTGCACCGGAGATTTGCCTAGCAGGAGTATCATTTGGGGAGTTTTATTTTTGGTTCCTTTCCTAATGATGTTCAACAGGGAATTTGTCTTTTTCTCAGGCACTGTCCACTGGGTTCACCTGTTCACCACAACCCCAATATCTTTTTGTAGCTCACTCACCATTAGCTCAGATCCATCTGCTTATACTGAAGTTGGGATTGTTTGCCCCAACATGCATTATGTTACACTTATTTAAAATGAACTGCGTTTGCCACATTGATACCCATTATTCCAGTTTGCAGATATTCTTTTGGAGGATCTCATAATTTCCTTTTGTTTTAACCACCCTAAATAATTTCATATTGTGCCACCTCATTGTTCACTCCTAATTCCAGGTCATTTATTCCAGGTCAAAGTACTGATCCTCACATAGATCCCTGGGGACCCCACAGATTCCTTCCTTGGGAGAATTAACCACTTATTCCTACTCTTTGCTTTAAGTTCCGTAAATAGTTACAGGTGTACTGGAGGACCTCTCCTCTTAGCCCATGTTTGCTAAGTTTGCTCAGGAATCTTTGGTGAAGGATTTTGTCAAAAGCTTCTTGAACATTCAAGTAAACAACATCAACTGTATCCAGATGTTTACTGATGCTCTAAAAAGGCTCGTGAAGGTTCATAAGACAGAATTTACCTTTGTGGAAACCATGTTGATTGTTTTGCAGCAAGGCTTACCCTTCAATATTCTTACTAATGTTATCTTTAATAAGGCTTTCAATCAATTTACCTGGAGGAGACATTAAGTTAATTGACTTGTAATTTCCCAGATCATCTCTGTACACATATTAAAAAATTGATGCTACAATGGCCATTTTCCAGTCCTCGCACATAGAATTTGAATTTAGGGGCATGTAACACATTCCTGTTAGATCAGGAAATACATTTTTCAGTTCTTTAAGAACTATAGGATGGATACCATCTGGGCCTGGTGATTTATTTATTTCCAGTTTGTCAATAAAGTTAGAAACGTAAATCAGTATTTACTTTAATTCCTCAGATTTTCCTGGAAAAAAATCTGGTTCAGACCCAGGTACCTGTTTTACATGTTCTATAGTGAAGACCAATGAGAAAAGTATCATTCAGCTTTTCTGCATCTCCTCATCTTCCTTTAGTGGTCCTTTACGTCCGTTATCATTATCATTCAGTGTCTAACTGCCTCTGTAGTTGGTGTTAAACATTCTGCTATATTTAAATAATTGTTGGCCTTGATGCTGTTAGCAATATGCTCCACAAAATGGTGGTTTTTTGCAACTTTTTTTGCATATGTACCCCCTTTGGTTTTCCTTATATGTGCAAGACTTCTGTTTTCTGAAAGAAGGCTCCTATTCTCTAAGTGCTTTCTTGATCTTGCTTGTTAATTATGCTGGTGGCAAACTGAATTTGGTACTACCTTTCCTAACCAGAGTTATATATTCTACCTGTGCTGCTCTTAGAGCACTTTGGAGTAAATGCCAAATATTTTGAAGGGATTAGCCCTCTCAGTTCCCCCTTTCAGCCTCCTTTTACCAGATCTCACATTTTAGGGAAATTCGCTCTGTCATAACTGTGTTGGACTTGAAAAGTTTCCAGGTTAATATTTGTTAAATCTGATAGCACTGTGGTCACCATTTCTAATTCCAACAACATTACTCCTTGTACTAGATCCTGAGCTAAACTACATAGGTTTAAATCCAGAGTCACCTTTCCTCTGGTCAGTCCTAGGATGAACTCTGCCAGGGCATTGAGAAATTTAACCTTTTTGTTTTGACAAGGACATGCATTTTCCCAGTCAATGGGGTGGGTAATTGAAGCCCCTCATTACAGCACTTTCTCGTTTGGAGGCCTCCCTGCTTTTGTTTTCCATCCCAAAATCACCTAGAATGTTCTGGTCTGGGGGTACCACGGCAATTGCCTACAACAAAATTAGCTTTGGAGCCCAGTATTGTCACCCAAAGTTCTGTGGATCACTCTGCACCTCTTCAATTCCAGATTAGCTGTCTCTGCCTGTCTAAGCCAGTTGCATATGTCTGTTCAATCCCTCAGTTGGGAAAAGACAGTGTGTGGAGTCCAGAGAGGCAGCCTAGATATGGCTGATCATGGACATGCACAATAGAGGCAAACTAAGTGAGCGAAGTGAGCAAATTTTACTCCATACCAGAGAGTATGGATTGGGAACTTTCATAAAGGTCAGGATATGATCTCATGGCCTGCCATGACCTCTCAGTGTCCAGAGCCTTCTTGAAGGTTTGGGATGAGGCTGATGATCCTATCACTCCTTTTGACTGGGGCTCAGCAGTGACCCCCCCCCCCCACACACACACAGGATGAAATCCATACCTGCTCTCCAGAATCAGGCAGGGTCAGCTATGGATTCAAAAGTTGGCATTCGCTTGGATCAATTCTGTGGCAGG